CCCCCCCCCCCCCCCAGCAGATAAGCCAGCCTGACTCAATGGTTTCCAAAACAGGAAAACCTCAGAGTTTTTGTTCTTTCTTTTAAAAGAGGAACAAAGGCAGTTGAGCAATACTCTGAAATCACTGCAGATGTGCAGGCATCGCTTTTTTTTCCATCATTGTCGCACAAAAGTACAAAGGAGCAGCTTTGAAGATCACAAACAAAACAAGCCAGAAAACAAGTCCTATTACAACAAATATAAAACACACAGACTGTGTAAAAATGAGGATGATAAAAGATGATAAAGGTTTTGCATCATTATAAAAAGGTATCAATTTATGACACACCTATAGCTTCCACGACCAGAGTGTATGCTGCCTGGGTCTCTCTGTCTAGGCCAACCACCGTCCGAACAACCCCGTCCCTGAAGCCCACGCTGAATTTACCGTCCTGATTACCACCTAAAAATACAGAGCACAATCACATTTCCAAATTAATTTACAGCATATTAGTTAAACATAAACACAGTACAGCTATCACACTAAAAAAGCATGCAGGAAGAGCTCACCTCATATATAAGTCACACAGAGATGGATGGATGGACAAAGGTACTGTATGTGCACATAGTTCTCATAACTGTACAACACTGTAGCCCTTAGACAACACACAAAAACAACTCCCACTGTGACCTCTGACCTGTGATGAAGTAGCTAAGCTCGGCGTTGAGGCCTGCGTCGTTGTCAGAGCAGCTGAGGCGCGCTACAATGTGGTCTCTAGGGACACTCTCCTTCAGGGAAACATTGTACACGCGAGGGTTGAAGGTAGGCGTCTCATCATTTACATCCAGAACTGACCCACACACACAAACACACAGACAGAAAGACATGAGGACACACAGATAGATGTACATGAGGACAAATAAGGCAGCAGGGTGGTGCAGTGAGTAGAAAGACTATTGTTAAATCAGAGGATTAGGAGTCTAGTAAAACTTCTGAAATTATTTCCAGCTTGGGTGTACAGCTCTCTGTGAAGACGTGAAACAGATCTCTGCGAAACAGTTCAAAATATTTTGATGCTTCTGACTCATCTGATCCATTTGAGAAATGCCAGTAAACCATATTCAGTTTTTCCATTTTCTTTTCACAGCAGTCACACCATTTGTCTCCTTTTAGGATTTTTCTTGTCCCACCAGCAGGTGGCAACATCCTTTTCAGTAGATTCCTGAGAAGTCAGTGGTTAATTATCTGCCATGATGAAGTAACCCTTCATGTCACACAGAATCCAATCATACCGTGGCTTGGCAGTTTCATATGTAGGGTAATTTCAGAGGGAGCAAAGGGAAATAAAACCCAGTTTCTCATCATCATCAGCCACATTTTCAGACTCTCACCTGTGACAGTGAGGGTTGAAGTGGAGGTGCGAGGGAACTTCCCTGCATCATATGCAATAATTCTCAAATGGTACTGGCCAATCTGCTCACGATCCAAGACTGCCGTGGAGGTGAGAACACCAGTCGAGGTGTTCAGGTAGAAGTCGAGGCGAGGCATTCCCATCTGTAACGCCATTGTAATCAAACCGTTCTTATCCTCATCTGGGTCCTCCACCTGAACCTAGAGCAGAAAGAAGAGAAGAAATGATACAGAGAAAGGCCGAGAAAGAACACAGGAGTTTATAGGCTGGGTAAAGGATGGCAGATGCTGTAAACAATAAGTTTTTTTTATTGGATAGCAATAATCGTGAAGTATTGCCAGGAATATGTTTGGAAGTCTTATTAATATCAGAAAATCATTCATGTTCCCTTAAAACAGAAGATTTTAATATTCTGAAACCTTTTCCCTTTTTTAAATGCAGTCATTATGGAATATAGTCTGATATTTTACCCTAAAAACTGAGGATCCAATGGGCAATCCCTCTGGCACTTCAGCCACGAAGGGCAGGTTGAGGAAGGTTGGGTCATTGTCATTCAGATCCAGCAGGTTGACAAACACTGTGGTGCTCGCTGATGCGCGCAGTTGAGGTGTACCACCTAAAGAGGGCGCCAGAGGGACACATAAAGACACACACACACACACACCCCATATCTCATGGTCAAAGGAGTTTATTAGCCACAGTAAAAAGTTTCATGGTCAACATAAAACTTGAGGAATGAGGCTTAAAGAATGAGGCTAATCGCTCAGAATCGAAAGCTCTCTGCTGAGAATGATATAAAGCCATTTAAGCTCGCTTACAGATGTTTTAGGTGTTTCATGAGACAGACAAATTTACACAGTGAAAGGCAAATACTGACAACCCACCACACACATACACATTACTCACGGTCGACAGCTGAGATGATAATGGTCCTCATGAGTGCTGCGTCCCTGGGGTTGGAGCTTTCCCTGTCCAGGGTTCCCCCACTGGTGCGTATCTTCCCTGTATTGCTGTTGATGGTGTAGAAGGGGTTTTCTGGACTGATACTGTACACCACTGTCCCATTTTCCCCATTGTCAGGGTCCACAGCCAACACCTGAACAAGGGAGACACAAGAAAAACTTTCTGAACAACCTATGGCCTGAACTCTTTTAACAACTCCTCCCGACAACAGGTGTTCCATATAGACCCTGTGTAAGAATCCTCAAGTTAAAATGTGTGGTTTTTGAAAGTGTATCAACAAGGAGAACTAAAAGATGTGGGGACAGGAATGAGAAAAGAGGGGAGGAACAAGGAAATTAATCAGAGAAGAAAAAATAATTGTAATAGTAATGGTAATAGTAACAAGAACGTCCGACCCCCAGAGCAAGCATCTTCACACACAACCCCTTCCAACTGTTCTAACACATCCGTCAGCTAAAAGAAAAATGGTAACGTCTCTTTTCTGACACAAAGTGGCAATGGGTGATGAATGCGGGAAGCCGGGAGCCGGGCTAAAACACTGGCTGATTCTTAAAGAGCTGATAAATTATTCAGTACGCTGACTAAAAACGCTAGAAACTGGTTAATTGGTCATTAGAGGAACAAAGGTTTTGCAGGTGTTTAATTATTAAGGGGACATGGTAGGCAGGCATCTCAGAGGCCTATTGATTAGCAACTGCACAGACAAACGTAGGTGATATAAGATGCGGGGAAGTGTCTAGCCGAGGCAAGTTGAACTAATCAATTCTGGCCTGAGCAGAGCACATTAAAAAATGGTGTGCAAATATATTAGCCTTGTCAATTCAACTTTAGCTCTAGTCCCACTGCAGAGTGGCAGAAAAGAGAATATTGTTGTGAAATGAGATAACAGAGGTCGCTCACTGTGTATGTATAGGTGCTGACTGTAAAAGGCTGCATCAGTGATGGAGGGGTGCTCTGAGATTTGAGTGGGCAAATCCTTGCACTGGACACAGCAACCAAATTCATTGGCTCGCTGGACACCTCAAGGAGGACTCAGCAGGTGGCCTCCTGTCACCATGGAAACACTGGTTGGGCCAGGGCTACATTGGGGCCAATTACAGGACTGTAAGCCTGGGTGGTCCGATTTATTGAAAAATGGTCAGAGGGGCAATAGTGTCTGTCCAGTGAGCGCAGAGAGTCACATACTATACAATATGCATCGCATCGCTGGATGCACCATGAATGAACTCAACTGAGGAATAGCTACAAGGGAGCAGGAATAAGTGGAAAATGTAGCAACATTTTAGCAGTGCAACACTCGTATCTTTCATTTCTCTTTCCTTACCATTTCTCCATTGCACTCTCTTGCTCTGCAAGATGAGTTCTTGCTTCTTTTTCTGCCTCACAGCTGAATAATTTGCTATGCGTATGACTGCAGGCTACATTTTAATTAGCAATCGGACTCCCTTAATTACACTCACTGACGCCTCTTTAATTAATGGACAATCAGGGCTTAATTAACAACAACACACTGCCAAAGACACCAGCAGGACAACCGGAGAATTTGGGCTAATATTTGTGTTTACGTTGTGGTGACCTACGCAGTGATGGCAGCTTTTCCATCAATAGTGTGCATGCAGATGTATCCTTCAGCAAGTCCTGTTTTTCGTGTACAGTGTGACTTAAATGATTTTCCAGTGAACAACAATGTTGTATTACAAGTTACAACAACACTCATATTTTGATCACACCGCCCTGATTTCTAAAATCAAAATGCACCTTTTGCCTGATTAAACCACAGACTGAAATAATGAATCA